TAAAAACTACAATTAAACTTTTTCCAAAAAAAACGCCCCAACACCCCATTTTCACCTCCTTTCCCAAACCATATAATAATCCAAAATTGTCGTCATCGCCACCTATATCGCCGAACTACCACCATCTTCCTCCATCATCCCATCATTAAACCCTAGTCGATTTTCTTCTCCCAACCATCCATCGAAATCCCTGAAAATCCAACCCATCATTTAAGCCGTGCTACTCTTTGGCTTTTCAATTTCATTTTGATCTTCTTGTGTTGTTGTTTGTCCAATTAATTGTGTGTGATGTGTTTGTAGATTGAGACCGTCGGCTAGGGAAGAAATTTCGGTAGATTGGGTGGCCGCCGACTTGTGTTGATTTGATCTTGTTTTATTTTTTGATTAAATCTTTTTCTAGTTTTTCGACTATAGATGTTTGGCGGTCCTTTCTATAAATGTTATTTGGTTTTTATGTTCAATGGTTTTTCTTTCCGCCCTGTTTTGGGTTTTTTTTCCCTTTGCAATGGAAAAGCTGGGTTTGATGGTGGTGACGACAATTTACAGTTTATGGTGACATAGATGGCCGTGGTCGGGTGGGATTGGGGGTGGCAAAGAAGATAACCTTTTAGTTTGTTTTTATTTAATTATCTCTTATTATATAATTGTATTTATACTACAAAATATAAAGTTGTCATCGTATGGATGAAAATGCCCCCTACTTAAAATGTTTAAAATATTTTTTTTCTTTTTTTTTTTGTCAACTAAAGGTGAAATTGATGGTTTTTATCAATTTGGATATCAGCTGCATATTTATGAAAGGTTAAGACATTTATTGGCACAAATTGAAGGTTATGATAAAATTTGCAAAAATTGAAAAAGTTAAGGATCGTTGCTGCAATTTTTCCTTGTATTTTTAAGTAAGTAAAATAATAAAAATATACATTTTTATTAAAAAAAATTGTCTCTAATATCAAAGCACGTCAAAAGAATAATTAGATTGAAATTATCGTGACGGATCACATGTATTAATTAATAAAAAAATAAAAAAAAGAATATAAGAAAAAAAGATGACAACATAAATATGACATTGAAAATTTTTAAGACAGTCAAATGTGACAAAACAAAAGTGCGAATGACAATTATAGCAGAGATTTTCCATGGAAATATTTGTCCCCACCGACCCACCGTGTCTGACCCGGGCCTTTAATGAAGATGTTACCACTCTTTTATTTTGACCATATTTAATTTTTCTGCAGCAAAAATTGAATACATCAACCGCCTCTACAGGAGCCATTAATTTCACATTTTAACGAAAAAATATAAACGTTGCAACATTAAGGTGCACAGTGATCGAGCCACAGTATGTGAAAAATGTATGGCAGCCGTCTTTTTTTTAGTTTGAAATGTCAAAATTGTCCAATTTATGAAAATTGCGTCCAAACAAGTTAGGGGCATTGTGGTCTTTTCACCAATTTTTAAAATTGAATGTAGTTAACACAGTCAAACATGGTTGCCAAAGTGGGACCTGCTCACTGTATAATAGTCGAGTTTTTAATTTTTATTCTCAAAGAATGACGTCCAAACAGGGACTAAGGGTCCGTTAACTGGACTTCTGAAAAGTTAAAATTTTAAAGGAAGTTAGCCAAAAACTCTTATACGAAAAGTAAAAGTTATGTCAAACGGACTCTAAATCTATATTTGACCCCCATTTTTTCAAAAACTCATTTTCATACCCATAAAATAATTTTACGTGTAAATCCAATTTTTTTTTCTTTTTTAACTCCACATTTTTCAAAAAGAAAATCACTATTTCAAAATTTATTTTCTTACCAAAATGGGCTCAAATAGGGGACTAATAATATTTACATTTCTATTAAGTGGGTCTGAATGTATATTTGTTCATGTTGAAATAATTATAACTCATTAGGACTTTTCTTGGTTACGAAAGGGTCCGTTTACATTCTCGTGTATCTTTGGTTATTTGCATCACAACCTACGAAATACAATTGAAGTGAAAGACAATCGTCGAATCATCATTTAATAATGAAACGCGCAAAACTCTTAACAATTAGCTAAAAAGACAATTGAAAATCTCGTCTAATGTCCATCAACTCGACATCGAACATAGGTCCTATTTAAGTGCGAATTCTGCACAATTATCAGACTTCTACGCAACAAACTCATGTGTACACAAAGAATTTTACGACAAATTTTCATGAATTCTATGATAAAATTCACAAAAGCACAAACATTAACAAAAACTTTGAAATTAGATTTAATTATAACTTTTGACGTAATGATGAGAAAATGTCAATTCAGAAAAATTACCAAAACTCCCTAAAATTATCAATAACAGAGCTATTTACACAACCAAGAGATTGTTGCAAAATGTAAAATATCTAAGATTTAGAGCCTGTTGGGTAGGGATTCTCATTTTCTACAGTAAATCAATTCTTATTATCAACCACACATTCTTCAATAAAATAATATTACACGCAAATCCAAAACTTTTCCTTATTTTTTAACCACATACTTTCCATCAAATCACTATTTAAAATGCATCCCTANAGACAATTGAAAATCTCGTCTAATGCCCATCAACTCGTTATCGAACATAGGTCCTTTTAGGCCCTGTTTGGTACACATTATTTTTTTCATTCTCATTCTTCTACTCATTTTCAACCACACTCTTAAGTGCGAATTCTGCACAATTAACAGACTTCTACGCAACAAACTCATGTGGACACAGAGAATTTTACGACAAAATTTCATGAATTCTATGACAAAATTCACAAAAGCACAAACATTAACAAAAACTTTGAAATTAGATTTAATTATAACTTTCGACGTAATGATGAGAAAATGTCAATTCATAAAAATTACCAAAACCCCCTAAAATTTTCAATAACAAAGCTATTTACACAACTAAGAGATTGTTGCAAAATGTAAAATATCTAAGATTTAAGTTTTTACACTCTAAAAAATCGCCTCGAATCAAGACAAATTTCAGAGTCGTCCCTTCTGAAAATCTTATCATTTTCCAAAAACTCATATTTCTCTTTCTACGGAAAACTCGCCTCGAAACACATCCAAAACCCTCAAAATGGGAAGACCCCAAACTCCGGTTCAACTCTCCTGTGACTTTAGTAAATAATTTTCATTTCTCGATGTCAGCATTTAAGACTTTTGAATTAGCGACCTTTCACTATTATTTATTAGTACTTTTAGTACACCTTTTCTTTTAAAATGTCAAATATTTTTACTCAAAAGATGAATATTTCCTGTTAACCAGATCCAAAAATAAACATAACAAGGACCAGAAAAAGTAAAATAGAAAGAAAAGAGAAGAAAAGCAAGCAGAAGACTTTTATCAAGATTGTTAGTGCAACAAGAAGTAAAATGAGTAATGCAGAGACACATCCCGCGATTTATCTCCTCCACAATGCTCTGGGAGCGGGACGGTGGGGGACCATCAAAGTTGGGGTTCAACCTTTTTTTTAATAATGCTGAATGTGCACCTTGGTGTACATTTATACATTCAGTTTGATAGACCCCTTACATACGGGTGGGGTCTGGGATTTTTAAAATTGTGGGCTCCACCCCCTATGTTAAGGGACTGTCACCCATGATGTACGCTTTTAGTGTACATCCAGCATGGTTCTAGTAAAATATTGAGAAATTTGTCGTTAAAAAAATAATTAAATAACCAACTCGCTAGAGAGGCCCATATCTCAACTATCAATTTACATCCGACCACGTGTCTCTCACCCTTTGAATAAATTTAAAAAAATAAAAAAATTACATGTCCTTTTTCCCCAAGTTCACAATTAAAAACCGGCAAAGTTGACGGGATGTTTCGTACTTTAGTAAATTTTGATAAAAATTAATTAATTTTGTATTGAAAATTTGAGAATTTTATGGTTAAAATTAATTATTAACCGTCTTTGGCCTTTAGTTAATTACTGGTTCAAAGTCTGATATTTCTCTTCCACTTCACAAACCAAACTTGCAGACAGAAAAAATATTTTGTAAGAAGAGAGAAAAATGGAAGGCGAAATCAACAATTTTGTTNCCAAAACCCTCAAAATGGGAAGACCCCAAACTCCGGTTCAACTCTCTTGTGACTTTAGTAAATAATTTTCATTTCTCGATGTCAACATTTAAGACTTTTGAATTAGCAACCTTTCACTATTATTTATTAGTACTTTTAGTACACCTTTTCTTTTAAAATGTCAAATATTTTTACTCAAAAGATGAATATTTCCTGTTAACCAGATCCAAAAATAAACATAACATGAACCAGAAAAAGTAAAATAGAAAGAAAAGAGAAGAAAAGCAAGCAGAAGACTTTTATCAAGATTATTAGCGCAACAAGAAGTAAAATGAATAATGCTGAAACACGTCCCGCGATTTACTTCCTCCACAATGTTGTAGGGGCGAGACGGTGGGGGACCATCAAAATTGGGTTCAACCTTTTTTTTAATAATGCTGAATGTGCACCTTGGTGTCCATTTATACATTTAGTTTGATAGTCCCCTTACATAGGAGTGGGGTCTGGGATTTTTAAAATTGTGGGCTCCACCCCTTATGTTAAGGGACTATCATTCATGATGTACACTAAAGCATGATTCTAATAAAATATTGAGAAATTTATCGTTAAAAAAATAATTGAAGAACCAACTCGCTAGAGAGGCCCACATCTCAACTATCAATTTACATCCGACCACGTGTCTCTCACACTTTGAATATATTTAAAAAAATAAAAAAATTACATGTCCTTTTTCCCCAAGTTCACAATTAAAAACCGGCAAAGTTGACGGGATGTTTCGTCCTTAGTAAATTTTGATAAAAATTAATTAATTTTGTATTAAAAATTTGAGAATTTTATAAAATATATAATTAAAATTAATCATTAACTTTCGCCTTTAGTTAATTACTGGTTCAAAGTCTGATATTTCTCTTCCACTTCACAAACCAAACTTGCAGACAGAAAAAATATTTTGTAAGAAGAGAGAAAAATGGAAGGCGAAATCAACAATTTTGTTGTGGTATGGATTACAGTTTTTGCATCTCTAACTTACTGTCACACAGTAGACAAAATCTTCCTTACAGGCTACACAAGGCGCCTAGCAATTCTGCCGGTGGTTTGCCTTTTTCTCTATCTTCCACTCAATCTCACCACCATTCACCTCGGCGGCACCACCGCCTTCTTCATCGCATGGCTTGCAAGTTTCAAACTCATTCTCTTTGCCTTCTGTAAAGGCCCTTTATACTCTGACTCTCCGATCCCCATATCCCGTTTCATTCCCTTAGCCTGTTTGCCTATCAAATTTTCTGCAGGATCTGGAAGTGTTTCTTCTGAAGAAACGAAAAAGAAAACCCAGAAATCTCCTATGAATTATGTTGCCAAGTTAATACTTTTGGCTATTCTAATACGTGTATATGATTATAAGAACTATATTCATCCTTATATCATTTTGTTTTGCTATTGCCTTCATATTTACTTTATGCTGGAGATGTTACTAGCCATGGTTGCTACGCTGGCTCGAGTCCTGATCCGGGTTGAGCTCGAGCCGCAATTTGATGAGCCTTATCTGGCTACATCCCTGCAAGATTTTTGGGGAAGAAGGTGGAATCTTATGGTATCAAATATTTTGCGTCCCATTGTATATGATCCTGTTCTGTCAATTTCCAGGCGAGTAACGGCAAGAAAATGGGCGACGCTTCCGGCAGTTTTGGCTACATTTTTGGTGTCTGGCTTGATGCATGAACTGATCTTCTATAACATTGGAAGATTGAAACCAACTGGAGAGGTAATGTGCTTCTTCCTGCTTCATGGAGTGTCATTGGCTATGGAAATCGGCATAAAGAAACTGTTGAAGGGCAGATTTACTCTGCCTAGGATTGCGTCGGGGCCATTGACGCTGGCATTTGTCATGACAACCAGTTTCTGGTTGTTCTTTCCGCCATTCTTGAGGGGCAAGGCAGACCTTAAAGGGTGTAATGAGTCTATTGCATTCATCGAGTTCGTGAAGAATCATAAACTGGTTAGCCCCAATAACGTTACTTGTCCGTTCCTATGAAGTATATCATTCAAAACGAGTAATGCTATTCATCACTTCTCTAGATCCCGATTCATTGTCGTATGGAGTTGTAATTCGTTTAATGCATCGAATAATGAATTGAGGGGTCCAATGCAATTATTAGTGCTAGTGTCTTGAGTTAATTAGAGAATATTATCGCTTAAAAGAAATATATGAAAGGGTTGCCGACAATTGAGTTAATGCTTAAGAGACTAGTTGGAGTTTAAAGCGATTCCAATAGCAAGACTCACTTATCTTAGCGTTCAACGTGGATTTTTCTAGTACCCAAGTGAGCCTATAAATGTCAAGGACACAAGCAACCACCAAAACAAAATTCATTTATTTCAGTTTAACATGGAATTTATTGTTAAACAACGCTATTCTCTTGGACCATAACACATGGCACAAGTTGAATGTGGTAACAATGAATATATTTGAACATAAATCAATAAATTTCTCTAGTATCTAACTTTGTCTATATTTTTCACAACTGGTGCAAACCCGAATAAAGTAAAAAGGTTGTGGTAAGTTAGCGAACGTAGAACTTTGTCAAGTCTTATGACACGATAATTCTTATACAAATACCAATACACATTTTCTTGGAGCATCCCTTGTGCCGAAAATAAGCGCTAGTTTGTTATTTTTGAAAGTAGAAGACTGCATCAGATGAAAAACAGAAGAAGAAAGAACATACAAGAATGACACATTTTATGTTGTTTGGACATATTAGAATCCCCTTATGCATACTTGGAATGTTTCTTTTGCAGAGTAAAAGTTAATAATGTCATGTCAGCTTCCTCGGGCAACTTGAATCTCACCCTCTTCTTCTCCAAATTCCCTTTTCGACTGATCAAAGATAACTCTTCTTCTTCTTCTGATTCATCAATCTTATCCAGTTCCCCTATAGAGAAACTGATTCTTGGTGTAAAATATCCAGTATGGGCATGATCAGGAGAAGACAGATACACTTTCTTGTTAGATTGCGTCGAAACTTGAACTTCACCTCCCATAATAGACTCAGAATTATTTAAGCTTGAAGGAGAATCGACAAGACAATCCCTCGAAGTCATCATTTTTGAAAGTGCATTTCCATTAATTTTGTTGCAAGACCCTATTTCTTCTGAAGTTGATGGCACAGCAAAGCTTTTGCCCCATGAATTAGCCGAAAATAAGGATAAAAAAAGAGTTTTATATGATTCTAAGAAAACATAGTTGAATATCCGAGATGGGAATTTTTTTAGATAGATAGTTTAAAGGGGGATATAAAGTAAAATGCGGCGGAGAAACCAATATGAGAGTAATTAATCATCATTTTTCTTAGGATCCGTTTAATTGCAAACGTGGAATTTGGGTGGAAATAAAATGAATTATAGAGAATTGAATTGTTTAGAATTTATTTTGCTGGGAATTTGTAATTAATTGTGTTTGATTGGTATAATTTTTCACCTGAAAAATGTTAAAAGTTTGGTGTTTGTTTGACTTCGTTTTTCATGAAAATTGTCCATTAAAATGATAATTTTTTTAACAATTGGGTCTAGAATTTGTTCCAATCGAAAAAAAAAAATTACCATACTGAATACTATTCGTTTGACTTTGTTTTGTATGAAAATTGTCAATAAAAATAATAATTTTTTTTTACCATTGTGTCTATAATATTTTCCAATTACCAAAAAAAAAAAGTAACATGGAAAACCAATTTCCACCACAAAACCAAGGAATGTGGCACGTGAGACAAAAGCAAGAAAAGGATTTTCTTGGAAAAAAATGCATCAAACAAGCTAAAAGTTTTGGAAATTGAATTTGAATTCCATTTTCCATTGAAAAGATTGGCCAATCAAACGGGGCCTTATAGTCTTTGAATCTTGGACTAAATTTCAGGTTTAATTTTCTGAATCTGCATCTTATTGTGGTATCGACTTTGGTTTTTAAGCTATATTTTGAGAATCATGTAACGATAACATAATGATTGACATAATTCTTGATATAATGTCACGTGACATTTTATCATTGAACTGTTCAAAATACAATCAACTTTTACATTCAATCATATATTGCCAACATTTATTATGTCAAAGCGTTTATCAACATATTTCCGTCGAAGTAGCGTAACCCATATGGCAATTAGAATTGGAGTGGTAGAAGACGATATTTCTTGTCTTGCATCGTTTTCGAGTCACTGAAAACAAGGAATTTTTTTGTAATATTGACAAAAATGATGGTATAGACAAAGCAGGTTTTATGTACACGTATCAATCATGAGATGGTAAGAGTAATATGTATAGGACACTTAAGAAAAATACCCTTAAAATTTGGACCATTTTGATAAGGGCATGTTCCTAATCATGATTTAGTGCCTGTTTGCCTCTCATTTTTTAATTTTTTTTTGTACATACTCATTTTCAATCACACATTTAAATAATAAAATATTATACACGTAAATACACATTTTTTTTTTACTTTTTTAACCATACATGTCAAAAATTCACTATTCAAAATAATTTTTTTCCAAAAAAATGGTCACCAAACAAGGACTTAATAACATGATCCCCAAACTCAAAACCTCGCCTCATAAAATAAAAAATCCCCCCAAAAAAAAACCCTACCAAAATCTGCAAATTCAGGTGGGAATTGACATCTTCCATATTATTTATTTATTTTTTTTTCAGATTTTGGTGTTCATTTGGTCTCATGTTTCAATTTAATTTTACAATCAGCATTGGAAAAATCCATTTTCCTAGGTCAAATACTCATTATTTTACTTTGAAACTTTTTATAAAGTTTTTTTCTAAATTTTGATTGATTCAAATTATTGACGTGAAACAAAAAAAGCCACCATAATTGAAGGGAAGGGAGAGAATCATGTTGATTGATTTAGCCATGTTTGGCATAGATTAAAATCTACTAAAATTTTTGGCTATATATTTCATTGGATTCACATCTTTTCGACTACAAAATTCATTAATTTTTATCAAAATTTACTAAAAATCTGATTTTAATTCACATTAAATAGGAGCTTAGACTTTCGTATACTATATATAATTAGTTGAAATTGATGCACTCGAACAGTTAATCTTTGTATACTAATTAAATAGTTAGTTGAAATTGATGCTCTAAAACAATTGCTGAGAATAATTGCAAATTACCTTTAGCCCCGATTTGATGACCCTTTTTTTTATTTTCAAAAACAATGTTTTGAATAGTGATTTTTAGGAGAATGTGTGATTAAAAAGTAGGGAAAAATTTTGGATTTAGGTTCAGAATATTTTAATGCGTGAGTATGTGGTTGAAAATGAGTACGTAGAAAAATGAATTTTCAAATAATAGTTGTCAAACAGGGACTTAGTTTGATATTTTGAAGATGTTTTTTGTTTTGCTAAAGTATGTTGTGTGATAATATAATTCGATTATACTACGGCCTTGTATGGGAGGGATTAAAATCAGATTAAAATTGAAAATATAGCCGTTATTGTTGACTTTTATTAGACGAGTGGGACCCAATAACGGCCATATTTTCAATTTTAATCGGCTTTTAATC